ATGGGTATTACATCAGAGAATGTTGCTCATCGCTTTGGTGTGACAAGGCAGGAGCAGGATCAGGCTGCAGTAAGTTGAATGATTGTCATGCAGTATGGTGTTGCAAATTATCTATCTCTCTCTCTATATATATATATTCTTAAAATCTGGTTGTTAGGTTGAATCTCACAGGAAAGCAGTAGCTGCTACAGCTTCTGGTAAATTTAAAGATGAAATAATCCCTGTGCTCACCAAGGTAGCTACTTTTTTCTTTTTTGCATCTTATAGAACAATCTATGTTTGATATACTCTTACAGAATGCTTTGTGTGAATATACCTCATGTTTGGATTGTAATATTTCATGCATGAAGATTGTTGACCTAAAGACTGGTGATGAGAAACCTGTCACTATCTCTGTTGATGATGGGATCCGACCAAAGACTTCAGTGTCAGATCTGGCAAAATTGAAGCCCGTGTTCAAGAAAGATGGGAGCACTACCGCTGGTAGTGAATAATGTACGATATTCTGGAATTCTATGCTTCTCTGGTGGTTCTAACTTACTGATTTGTATGTTGCTTGTTTCGTAGGAAATTCTAGTCAAGTGAGTGATGGTGCTGGGGTTGTTCTACTCATGAAAAGAAGTGTTGCCATGCACAAAGGGCTACCAGTTCTTGGTGTATTCAGGTGTGTAATGCCTGGTATTGTATCCTTCTGATATATATTATAAATGAAAATTGTGCAGTAACCTTTTGATGTGCTTGTAGACTATATAAAGCCAGCACTCTCTGCTCTGTTACATCTGTTGTCCTGGGCTTTCAAAGTGTCTACTAGAATTTCTTGCTGTTTTGACTATTCTGTAATGAGGGTTCTAATCTAAGCTTTAATTTCTTTGCTATATGTGGTTTCTAAGGAGCATCCGACTGTTTACTTTCACTGTTACCCGCTTTTTTTTTATCTGTTTTCTGTATGACATTGTTCGATTTCTATTTCTTCATTAGTAACCTCAAAGTATAAAACTGCCCCATTAGTCAGGCATGCATGACTGGGTCTCAAATGAAGTGACAGTGTGTGCAGCCATTTAGCATTCCACGTATCCTAGGATTTTTTTTTTTCTTTTTCCTCGTATTTTATTTCGTTGTATAGCTTCCTCTCAGTTTAATAGGGAACAAGGTCATTCAGAGTTATTTGTTTTATTTACCAGCCCAGGCCCTCATTCTTTAAACTAATTAGAAATGTAAAATTTTGTATTAATTTAAGAAAGTGCTTGTTGATCTTGCAGGACTTTTACTGCAGTTGGTGTGGATCCTGCCATCAATGGTGGTGGTCCAGCTGTGGCAATTCCTGCAGCAGTTAAAGCTGCTGGTCTGGAACTTGATGATATTGATCTTTTTGAGATAAACGAGGTACAATGTAGTTTATCATTTAGCTTCAACGGAGTAAATTAAAGAGAATTACATTACATTGAAGTCTCTAATTTCTTCCTTTATTGCAGGCATTTGCATCTCAGTTTGTATACTGCCATAAGAAGCTGGGACTTGATCTGTTAAAGATTAACGTTAATGGAGGTGCAATGGCAATTGGACATCCATTGGGGGCAACAGGTATTTCTAACACAAACAAAGTTTACAAAACTTTGTTGTTTCTGTTTGTAATAATTGGCATTATCTATTGGAGTACTGAAGGTAAATCAATGCCCAAAATGATTATTTATTGGCGCTGTACTCACACGATCACTTCCATGTGAATCCGAGTATGTTAAGCCTAAAATGACTCTTGCAACTATAATGCAAGAAATTGGAAGGGCTCCTTGTACTATATATGTCTCGTGTATGCATTGGCATTTGAATTAAAGTAAGGTAAGAACCCGAATCTTAGGTCATCATGTAGTCATCTTTAAAAGATCGCCTCCAGCATGTCTGGGATTTAAATCCCAGCATGTGAAACCTCTTCTTCTATTCTCAGGCTGCAGCCTCTTTTGTTAAAAAAAAAAAAAGGTGAGACATGGATGTGGCTCTAGTTCACCACCTGTTAATATGCACACTTCTGTGCCCTTGTTGAAGGTGCTCGCTGTGTTGCTACACTTTTGCAAGAAATGAAGCGGCGTGGCAGAGACTGCCGCTTTGGAGTGATCTCAATGTGCATAGGTATCTCTCTCTCTCTCTCTCTCTCTCTCTCTCTCTGCTTCTGTTGTATACTCACCAGAGTTGCTGACCATAGATTTAACCACTGAAATGCAGGCACAGGGATGGGGGCAGCAGCTGTTTTTCAAAGGGGTGATTGTATCGATGAGGTATGCAATGCCAGGAAAGTTGAAACTAACAACCTTTTATCCAAGGATGTCCGATAGAAATAATACGTATTCTTTTGTTAGCCGCTTTGATTTCTTATTAAATTATTCTAAATTGGGCTGGAAATTTTAATAAAGCAGTGTATCTGTGACAAGTCAGATTTTTTTTGGCCAGAAACCTGAAACAGGGTTCAGACATCTGGCTGTATCTTGACATTTTCATAAAATTATATTTCTGCCATTTGTGTTTAGATTGGATTGTTTGTAGATTGGATTATTTTGCATTAGGTTGTTTTTCATTAAGAAAAAATTGATCAGTTTGAATTATTTTTAATTTGGATAAATTAAAATTCGGATTAAGGAAAATTCAAATTATTTTATATTCGGATCATTTCAATTTTGAGATATTTAGATTTAAGTCATTCAAGTTCAATTTGTTAATTTTTAAAATATATATATATATATTATATTTGAATGAATTATTTAAATCAAATTTGAATTTATCATTTGTAATTAAATTAGTTGAAGTTACATTTTTGTGAACTTCTGGCATGACCTATTGATAACAATGATACCTTTAATTTAGGTTTTCAATATCGTAAAAATAATTTTTCTAAAAAATAAATATAATTATATTATGTTAAAAATTAAAATGTCAGTTAAATGAATTAAAAATCATTTTCTAATATGAAATTATGTTAAATTAAATATAAATTTTACTTTGTTCATAGTAGAAATTATTAATGATTTTTATTGATAGATGTTTAATATTTATTTTTAATTTTTCATGCATTAATTATTAAATTTATTATTATTTATTTATATTGATATTTTATACAATCGTATTCACACATATTACTCATTAGTAATGAATTAAAAATAAACAAATAAATAGATATTTTAAAAAGACTCACTACTAAAAAGTAAGGTATTGATATTTTCATTTTAATCTCATGTGTTATAATTAGTTTTATGGACTTGTTCTTAACTTTTTTAAGAGAGACTTTTATTTGTAATGTATAAACATAAAAATAGATTTAAATTATAATAATAGATATAATTTTTAATTTTTAAACATAATTAAGAAAATGTATAATAAAAAAAAGAGATTGAAAACATAATTTAAAATTATTAAATTTTTATAAATTAATTTTATTAAATTTATTATTTTTAATTATACTAATATTTTAGAAAGTAAAACTATGCTTAATTTAATTTTATATAATTTTGGATAAATATTTTGAGTTATTCAATTTTAAGTTATTTTGAGTGAATTATTTGATCTTAAATTATTTTAAATTCAAATCAATTCAAATTCGAATCAGTTTGAATTTAAATTGAACAAGTTCGAGTTACTGAATTTTTTAAATTGAATTGATTAGGTTTGGATTAGGACAGGTTATGCTAGTATTTCAAATTTGGATCAATTTTACCTGTTGTAATTGTCAAATATATCAAGCTTAGCAAAAACCTTGCGAAAAACTTACAAAGGTTTCTCTAGTTGATAAAGAAATAATTACTTTTTTTATCAATTGAGATTTGATTTTTGTGGAGAATATTTCAAGATTAATATCTTAAATACATTGGCTAATATTGAGGATTGCGTCTTTAAAATCGTATAAAAAAATAGTTTTAAATTCTAGCAAAATCAAAGAATACATTGATTGTATTATATAAAAAAAGAAATTTAAGAAAATGACAAAAAAATTGTTTTAATTAGAAATTGTTCTGGGATGACTCAAATTTGACTCAGTTTCTTTTGATTTGATCTATTTAGAATTTAGACAAAGATTTGAATTATTTTAAATTTAAATTATTTTAGATTCAAATAATTTGAAATTCAAATCATTTTAAAGTTTAGTAAAATTTAGACGTTTTGAATTTAGGCTTCTTCATATTTGATCAACTTCTAATATTACAATTTGAAATTTTTTGAAACAAAACTGGAGTTTTCAAGAATAATATCTTAAATACATTGGCTAATATTGAAGATTACGTCTTTAAAATCGTATAAAAAAATAGTTTTAAATTCTAGCAAAATCGAAGAATACATTGATTGTATTATATAAAAAAAGAAATTTGAGAAAATGACAAAAAAATTGTTTTAATTAGAAACTGTTCTGGGATGACTCAAATTTGACTCAGTTTCTTTTGATTTGACCTATTTAGAATTTAGACAAAGATTTGAATTATTTTAAATTTAAATTATTTTATATTCAAATAATTTGAAATTCAAATCATTTTAAAGTTTAGTAAAATTTAGACGTTTTGAATTTAGGCTTCTTCATATTTGATCAACTTCTAATATTACAATTTGAAATTTTTTGAAACAAAATTGGAGTTTTTCAAGTTCCAAATTGATTGAAATTACTTTGTTTTGTTTTAAATTATTCTCAAATTCGTGTTTTTCTTTTATACTTTCATTAATAAATTTAAATCGAATCAAATTCAGATTCAAATATTAAAAATTTTTCAAAATCGAATCAAAGTCAAACTCAAATATGATAATTTCTCAAATTCTAATCAAATTTTACCTAATATTGTCACCTCTAGTTTTAATGATAACATGTCGTTTCAAATTACTTTTTCTTAAGTAAAACATTACTTTAGAACATTCCCCCCCCCCCCCCCCCTTCAAGATCATATATGTGTGTTTGTACATGTATTTTTTGCTATCCATAATTAAATTCTTCTATCAATTCTGAAATCTGATTTTTTTTTTTTTAAATGTGAAAAACAGAGGGCAGGGGAGCAGCATGAAATGATTCTATTGCAAATGGATATTAACACACCTTTAGGGAAGCAACAATAGCCTTGATAGGGGAAGAATGGTAAAAAATAATTAGGGTAGCCAATTCACCATTTCCCACCAAAAATTCAGAACAAAAGCAGCTTAAAGAGGCTCATATGCTTAGTTGCATGCCTGCCTTCTACTTTCTAGACGTTAATCCCTTTCCCCATTGGTTACACTGAGGATTACGATCCTCCATCAACATTTCAAGGCCATGTCTGCTTTCTTTCATCAAGCTTTCAGATCCCTTCCCTTCGTGTGTAGCGGTCGAATCTGCAGGAAAGGCAAAGATAACATCCAATGACAAATTTATGTGACAACTGTTTATGAATAATGACCCAAAAAACAGAGGCGATTTCTTCCGAATTCAATTGAAATCCAGGAAAAATGTGAACCGGTGAAGTAACACCAGAAGCCAACAAGTTTCAGTAACAAAAATTTCAAGGGAGTCAATTAGAAAGAAAAATACCTATCTCTAATAAATATTTGCCTACGACTTTTTTCCTCTCATAAATAAAAGACTAATGGAGTGGAATTACCATTCAAGTTATAGATGACTTGCAAACTGGGCATGACGATTTCCTGCTCAGCCATGGATCGATACACTGCCACGTAAAGGGAATGAAGAAACAGATTAAATACTTGTTAACTTCCCCCTACAAGAAACTTGAAATTTATGTAGACAAGGAAGATGGCGAATGGTTTCTCCGATGGTGGGGGTTTCAAGACATATGGCACAAGCTTCTTCAAAATTATCAGTCTGTATTGATAAAGGAATTGAACAAAAATAATTAGAAATTAGATCTGGAGAGCCAAATATAAGCAATGGACATTGTATTTGCACGCATATATATGAGGAAAGCAAAACATAAAACACCTATCTATATGGTTTCATCCACATGGCCCAGACATTTACCTGTACTTTTGACAGTGGTAAACTGTTAATCTGATTAGTTGATGCACCACCATGCTGATGATTGTTATCATCCAGGGCCAACAGCATTTCATAATCGTTTCTGCAAGAAAATGAAAATGGAGACAAGATATAACAACTTCAACTAACAGCAGTTAATCCAGAGAGGATAGAAAATCTTAAATAGAACATTAAGCAACATAGAAATATGATAAACAGAAGTAAAAAAGATGAATTATTAAAGTTAAAAGTTATAGAAAGATCACTGGTTATCATCTGCCTATCCTGGATACTAATGTTATATTAATGTTAAAACCAATAAATTTTATGTTAATATGATATATTTTTCAAATAGGACAAACTTTACATATTAATATACAAATTTTATTTATTTTTACATAATTATATATTTATATAAATTATTATTTAAAATAAATAAAAAAATTCACACATTAGACATGAGACAACAAATATTAGTATATATAAAAAAATGATTAAACATATATGTGCCCATAAATTATACTACTTTTATCACATTGATTTGTAACAAAAGTGTCAAGTCACTTTTTTTTTAACTTGAAAAAAATAAAAAATAATTTATAATGGTGGGGTTCAAAAAAATTTTTTTAAATATTTATTTATAAAACATATAAAATAACATCCATAAATTTATTAATTTTATAGATTAAAAAAATTATTTAAAATAATATTTTAGATATTAAAAAAAATTTTAAATATTTTTAGTTTTTGAAATTTTAGAAGTGGCCAAAACAAAAATTTAAGAGCATTGAAGGGAAATTTTTTCTTTAAATTTCTTTTTTTTTTTTTATAATTTTTTAGGTGTCCATCATATCATTTATATCCGTTACTGGATTGACGGTGACCTGTCTCTGATCAACTAAATTAATGACGATTTGGCTTATCTCAGCAAAAATAATATCGATCTAATTGGTCAAGATAGATCGATATTAATCTGATCCGTTCAACCGATTGTCATGGGCATCGACCTTCCACCTCGCCCCTCCCCCACCATTCGCTCTTTCTTTCCTGTCACTTTTTCCCTTGCTCTCCATTGTTCTTCCGTTTTTATTTTTATTTTTATCTTTTTTTATTTAAAAAATTTGTTATTCTAAATTGGTCCAAAGCCCAAAAGCTACAAAAGTAGATGAAATGATTATTTAGCCCTATTAATTTTGATATTTACTAGTATTAAATAAATTTTTAATAAATTAGTATTTAAATTATAGAATATGAAAAGTTATATATTATTTAATCATCCAAAAATAAAAGATTTGAAATCTAATATATATATATATATATATAAACTTTTCATATTATCCTAATCATTGAATTTAATTAAAATAGTAAAAAAAAAAACCAAAAGATATTATGTTATTAATTTTAATCTTTTCATATTCAATTTAAATTAAAATATTGTTCATATTCTACTAATCATTAAATTTAAGTAGAATAATAGGAGACGAATTGTTTTTATAGTTAGCAGATAAAAAGTAACAAAACATTATAATAAAAATGTTATTTTACTAACTATTGAAAAAAAAAAAATATATATATATATAAAACAATTCCATTTGAAATTTTTTCATATTTTACTAACTATTGAACCTAACTAAAATGGTTGACGACATGAAAAATTAAAAAATGTTAGTATATTAATTTTAATATTTTTATATTGTATTAATTAATTATTTTAAAATAAAGTTTGGAAGGAAAAAAAAGAATATAATTCAAATTTAGTTGTAAACAATAAAATGTGTTTGATTTTGTTTTCTTTGTACTAATAATTATTTTATGATTTTTGTAATTGATGTACTCATTTTATAATTATTTACTTTTTATTTGAGATTTTTGAACTCTCTTATTTAATCCATGCATAGAATTTTTAAATAAACCTATGCATAGATTTGTTGCAATGGTAGATGGTGAGGATTTTACTCCACTATTTTTTCTTCTTCTTTTTTTTTTTGTAAATTTCATGGTGATGCTACAATAGATACTATTCTTTCCTAACTTTTTCCTTCTGTATAATTGTTATTTATTTATTTTATATATTTCTTGAATTGTTGTTTACTTTTTATTTTTATTCCAACAAAGTAGCATGAGTCGATTGTGTTTTGAAGAGTTACTCTTTTAAATTTTGACATATATACATTATCGTTTCCTTTAAAAATAATGATCTCTATGACATGACCCAAAGCTCATATAAGACTTACTCATGCTATAATGATTTTAGGGTGGATAGTTCTCATGCTAGTGCGACAAGAGTTGATGAGGAATATCTGAGTGTATATGCAATAAGTTTTTATTTTTTGTTGAATGATAGAACCATTATGGTCAGGCTATATGAAGCATACAATCCTTTTTGTTATGTTGCAACTTTTAAATTGTAAATTAGAATTTAACATAAGTGAGTTATGTTTATATGGTTTGCTGAGCATAGTGAAGGATATGTTATCGATGGATGATAAATTACTAGAAATTTTTGATAAAATGAAAAAAAAAAGATGATGAAACTTGGACTTGATTATAAGAAAATTAATGTATGTGAAAAAAATTGCATGTTATTTTATAAGAAAGTAGCAAATTTGACATATTGTTCGATATACAATCATCTTTAATATTTAAGGAATAGGTTTAGTGATGAGATGAAAAAACATATTTCATATAAAATCTTACGTTATATGCCTCTGATACCAATATTTCAAAGACTTTGTATGGAATAAAAAATTTTAAACATATGACATGGCATACCTATAGCCAAAGTCATAATGGTGTGCTTCGATATTCTATTGATGGTGAAATTTAGGAACATTTCAATCGCAACCATGAATCGTTTACACTTGAAGTTCAAAATGTAAGATTAGGATTATTTGTGATGGTTTTTATCTAATTGGTCTAAATGCAAAACCATACTCTTGTTGACTTGTAATGATAATGGTAAACAATTTGTCACTACAGTTATGTATGAAACGAGAATATATCTAGTTGAATATGGCCATTTCAGGAAAAAGTAGTCTAAGTTAAAATATAAATATTTTCTTGAACCTTTAATAAATGAGTTAAAATATTATGTTTAATGGTTTTGTGACTATAATGCTTATAAAAAATAAAATTTTCAATTAAGGGCAGCTATTTTATGGACAATTAATGATTTTTCTACATATAGTATGTTGTCTGAATGGAGCACTCATGGAATTTTATCATGTCCTTATTGCATAGGATAAGAAAAGTCTCTTCGATTGGTTCATGGTAAGAAGCCTTACTTTCTCGATTTTCATTGTCATTTTTTGCCTTTTGATCATCCTTTTAGAAGGTAAAGAGATAATTTTCAAAAAAAGGTTGAATGTGACTCCCTTATTGATCCATTATCAAGCTAAGAAATTTTGGCTTAGTTAGACAATTTTTTTGATATCACATTTGGCACAAAATGTAATGATTAGAAGTTATTTAGTTTTGGTGAAAGTCACAATTAGGTCAAGAAAAGTATATATTAGGAGTTACTGTATTGGCATACCAATTTTATTCGACACAATTTTAATGTGATGCATATGAGCATAATGTCTTTAACAATGTTTTTAAGACAATGATGGATGTTAATGGTAAATCCAAAGACAACATAAAGGCTAGACTAGATGTTAAGATGTATTACAAACAACCCGAGTTGGAACTGATTGAAAGGAATGGAAAAGTTTTCACACTTAAAGCTTCGTACACAAGTAAAAAGCATTTAAGAGATGTTTATGCATAGGTTAAACAATTAAAACTTCTTGATGGTTTTGCATTTAACATAACTTAGTATGTTAACATGGCTTTTTGCAAGTTTATAGGATAAGAAGTCATGATTGTCATGTTTTCATCCAACGATTGCTTATAATTACCTTTTGTGATTTGGTGCCTAACTCAATTTAGGATGCAATTATTGAGCTATCTCATATTTTTAAAGATTTGTGTTCTACTAAAATATATGTAGATTATATGAAAGTGTTAAAAAAAATTATAAAAGTAATCTGCATATTAGAAAAGATTTTTCCTTTAGTTTCTTTGATTCTATAAACCATTTGTCAATTCACTTCCCTAATGAGGCCAAAATTAGTGGACCTGTTCATTATCGATGGATGTATCCATTTAAAGGTTAATATATTTGAATTGTAAGACATTACATTGATTTAATTTAATTTAATTTAATTTTCCTTCAATAATATTTATGTTATCCTATGATGATGACTAGGTTTCTCCGTCATCTCAAGAAAAAAATGCACCAATCAAGTATTTATTGAAATATCTATATGTGAGGCATATGTTATCGATGAGATATCCATTTTTTGTCATTATATTTTGATTTAAATGTGTCAACAGATTAAATCAAGTTTCATATAATGATATTAGGAATGCATGAAATTTAGAGGATATTTTTTGGTATTCACTCATGGCCTAACATTAGGTTCACAAGATAAGTTATAATGGCTATCAGTAGATAAGCATGCCATGAGACCTTT